TTGTGCTGTTACCTGAGATGCATTAAAAAAACCACCAAAGATTGCTTTGTCCAATTCCCTGAAAATGGAGAACCAGGAATGAAAAAAAAGAGATGCCCAAGAGATTTTGAACAGGTGATTACCTTTTGAGGTAAAGGTTAGGCGCTCATGGAGAAGGCAGAAGTCAGAATCAGTGAATTGCCTTGACACAGATCACTTATTTGTCAGACTGGTTTCTCATTGCTTCCGGCTCCCTGTAGGAGTTAAGTAACCTTAGAACCAAAGCTGATCTGCTTCTGTTGTTGTTCTGATGTTCTAGACCACGTTAAGGTAGTCACATGGAGAGCAATGTCTGAGGCTGATCTGTTGGTCAGCTATTGAACAGAATGTATAACCTGACCAGGTATTAATTAAAATACTAATTCACAAGGCAGTTTTGAAGTGAGATGAAATGGAATGTGATACACATAATTATATTCCAGTACCTCTAGTGACTGCAGTCTTTTATTAACATGTCATCTGTTTTCATGTCTCTGGGGCCTGGTTAGTGAACTGTTACTTTGATACTTTTGCTGGTATAAACAAACCTTTTGCACTGAATAGCCATTTGTGTGCTTCCATGGAGAGAATATACACAATGCTGATATATATATCCAGTCCCCATGGCTCCTACATAGTCCCATAAATAGGCATTAAGCCCTATTTATGTCTGTTCATCCCTGTTCATTGACATGTGTCCTGGGTTTAGCAGTAGCAGTCAATTTTTCTCCTTCTTGGTAGCTGAAGCAGTGCTGTGTTTTGACTTTCAGCCTGGGAACAGTGCTGATAACACCGATGTTTTCAGTTGTTGCTAAGTGATGTTTACCGTGACCAAGGACTTTGTGAGGCTCATGCTCTGCCAGGGAGGAGGGGAAGCCAGGAGGAAGCAGAGACAGGACACCTGACCCAAGCTAGCCAAAGAGGTATTCCATACCACAGCACGTCATGCCCGAGGGGGTAACTGAGAGTTACACGGAAGGACACGGGGTCTTCTGGATTGGACTCGTTTTTCGGTGGGTGGTATTGTATTCTCTTCCCTTGTTATTTTCTCTTATCATTGTTGTTGTTAGTGGTGGTAGCAGTGGTGATTTGTGTTGTGTTGTGCTGGACTGTTCTTGTCTCAACCCGTGGGATTTGCATTCTTTCGATTCTCCTCCCCATCCCTCCGGGAGCAGGGAAGGGGAGAGCCCCCAGGGAGGGGAGGGACGCGGGCCTCTACTGCTTCCAGCCTGGCACCACTCACTGGGAGTGAGTGAACGATCTGTCTGGCTGGGTTTAAACCACGACAGCATAGAATATAAGAATGTGCTGGTCCTACTTTTTTTGCATGTTATAATTAGACTGAACAACTCCGAGTTTCAACACAGTGTAATGAAACTTATGTGTGAAATAGGGCTCCAGGGATGACTTTTTGTTGAACATGTGACATTGGCATTTGGAACTCTGAGGTGGGATACAGATGGGTTTCTGTGGAACAAGCTTGGTTTACCCTAGCTTAGTATCTGCTGCTGTTTTCAATCCAATTCAGTGTTCAGTGATTGAGCAAAACTCCAACTGACTTCAATTAAGAAGTTAGCCTGAGTATGCACTAGTTGTTGTAAGTAACATCAGAAGTTTCTTATGCATGTGGAGGTAAAACCTGTTTTCATATAGGACACTGGAACAAACCCATGAACTGTTCCCAGACTACTCAGGTCAAAGGTCCCCCGTAGCTCCCTGCCACCCAAGATGAGTATTGTTTTCGTCCTGGAGGTGGAGAATTCTGCAAGTACCAATAACTGGGACTTGTCTGTCCCATTAATAACCAGAAAAAAATTGCAAATATAAAGGGGAACTGGTAGTGATCCTACTTTTAAAGCATTAAATATTCTGTAGCATAAGAGTACTAAGTCAGACTTCAGTAAAGCATTTGAAATTAGGACCTCTTTAAAAAAGTACAGCAGTTGGAAGAAAAAAAAAGCTTCAAAGCTGCTTTTGCTCCCCCTTGGAAACCTGCTGGTGTTAGGATAAAATGAATAGAGAAAAGAGAAAGGTTTGCCTTCTAATAAAGCATCTGTTGCCCACTTTGAACATTTCTTACTTCTTTGTGAGTGTGTCTCTTCAGTTATGGCTGCTACTGACAATGAAGAACAGAGGTATAGAAAAAGACAATACCTGTTATATAGCCAATATTTTTGATTTCATGTCACTTTGAACAGAATCTTCATTTGACCACATGCTGTGTCAAAAAGGAATTTCTTTGTTACCTAATCCAAAGATGCCGTAAGATGCTCAAAAAAGTAAACTGCAGGAATCTGTTCAATAAGAAAGATAAAAACAAACCTTACAATTCTTTCAGTGCACTGCGTTCACTTTTAACTTCAGCCTATTTTGGCATGCTACATAAAAACTGAATTCAAATGACTCATGCCTTTTTTTCCTCTCTTTCTTTTAATGTTATTAATTCTGGTCGTGGACTATAGATTTCCTTCGTCTTGGAAATAAAAGGCAATAAAATAAACATCTTCACATAAATTCAAAATGCGAGAAGGACTAAGGGATGCACATGCTTCACTGGATTGTTTAGAAACCTGTGGCCAGTTACTGCTGCCACTGAATTTTAGCTGCTGTAACATGGCTTTTTGAGGGCTCCCATCCTCAAAAGCTTTGCAGTATTTCACAGCAGGAGAGTCTTAGGTTTGGCTGAGGTCCTCACCTGAGTGATTCAGCAAAATTTTGTCCAGACCTCAGACACTTTATTTTTCTATCTTCTGTGTATGCTTACAGTTCAAGGCCAAAATGGCAGAAGACTGTATTCTAAGGGCTACATTCAGCTCTCCATGGTCAGCTCTTGTGTTGCTTGCAATGGATAAAGTCAGCTCATGACTGACCATTGAAGCATTAAGCAAAGACCATGTAATGAAATATAATCTTAAAGTCTAACCCAATTCAACTGAGTTTAATGAAAAAAAGAAAAAGCTGCTTTTTTAAAAATGGATATAGGAAAATACAATGTTTTGAATAGACAAACATTTTGATCTTTGGATTTTTTAGAGTAGATAAGGTTACAAAGATGACTTTGCAGTCTCTTTTTTCAGTACTCTTAAGCACTCAAAACTTCTACTTAGATTCTTTCCTACTTTAACCTCAAGCCTATTTTAAAATTTGAAGAAAAGCACTTGTAGGTTGTATGTGTTTTGCAGAGGTTTTTTGTTTGTTTTGGGCTTAAAAGGAGGGCACCTGTGGGTCTGGGCATAACTCAATCAAGAGTTGGAAGGCACTCAATAAGTAAGTTTTAATTACTCAGATATAGTTAATGACACAGATTTCCTATATGTCTGAATTGTAAAGATACTCCAAGACGTTCATGTAGTGCAATAAAGACTCTTCAGCACATAGATGTAATTATTACAGTTAATTTTGTTGTGATTACAGTCCAGTACTATAGGTCTTGTGAACTATTATGTTGGATTTTGAAATATTCAGGCTAGTTTTAATTTCTCATTTACAATGTCTTCAATGTAAGAAACATAGGATGTTTTTGGAATGAATGAAATTTGCTTCTCACTGAAATGTTAAAATACTAGTTATGGAAGCCCTGGAGTCATGAAGGAGCAAGGCATCCACATACATGTTTGAGAAAAGTCTAGAAGATCCTGGCCCTTTGAGAAAAGATGGTGCACGGAAACACAGGCTGGTGCATGGCATACAAGATGGGCAAATGAGCTCTGCCCTTGTATAAGCTTCCCTGGACCAGTGAGTCCTTACTCTGATATGGCAGAAATGATCAGGTTCTGCTGTGAAGCTGACCAGGCTTGCTCTAGGGCAGGGAAGGGTGGCAGGGTTTGTGCTGGCAGACCATACTACTAACCAGATTTGAGCAAGAGTCCCTTACTTTTGCTGTTAAGCTCCATTTCAAATGAAGGCGCAGCAGATACTCGCATTTAATTATTAGCAACTTACTTCTAGGCTGGCCACCCTCTGTCTCATTTGAATTCTTCAGTCTACAGCCACTGCCAGCTCTCCAAAGAGGTTTGCTCTTTGAATTATGCATTCCTTCTCACAAGTCATCAATAACGTTACTCAGAGCAGGTGTATGTTCTGTAATTGATTAGTTATCTCTTCACAGCAAATAGTAGAGTTTGTGATCAAGTAAGCAGGTTCATAGATTCCCTTGATCAAAGCATCAGAATCTGATTATGCTTCCTATAAAGGACATCCTTTGAAGTGGATCAGCACTCAGGTAATTCAATTTTCTTTCTGGAGAATTCATCTTGAAAGGAAGTAATTTACTCAGATACAAAGAGGTGGAAGATACTGTTTCCATTATGACCCATCTGGTGACTTTATGTCAGCCTCAGAAGAAAAAAAAGAAAAAGATTATTGACTGTGTCTGAGAAGTAACAATATGGTCCTTTTTGTTCTGTACATCAGATACGATAATTTCTCTAAAATGGATCATGTTTTATATTAATCTGAATCTGACTGTACTACACTTCAAGGGAAAATGAGCAGTTACCAAGTGTAAACTTAAACTGTAGTAGGACTTTTCAGAATGCTATACAAACTCAAGCTTTTACCTACATTTGCTTGTCAGGCAGTTTATTAGCTCTTATCCTCATAATTCTGGATGGAAAGCCATTGTTTTTTAAACAAGGCACCACTCTTCTTTTTTTTCCTCTCCTTTTACATACAGCTGAAATTTTCTAAGGGATATCTCATAATCCAGGAATTGTTTTCCCACCCTTTTTCTTTCCCAGGAGTGTTTCAACATTTGTTATTTCATTATTAGAAAAGATCAGTGGTTATCATATTGTTACAAAAAGAACTTTAGTACAAAGAAATGAAAAGTACTGTTGAATGGTACTTTAAAGCTGTGAAATCCCAAGAAAAGTAATGGAAAAAAGTAAAAGGCATTTTTAATTTAAGCATTTTTAAACATGAGAATTATGTTATTAATTTCCTTCTTAAACATGAACTTCTTAATGTCATTTATACTGTAGATACGTACGAAGTTTACAGCACAGTTCCCTAATGCAATGGACAGGTGCTTCAGACAGGGCCTATAGGAGATTCTGTTAGCATTGAAATCTTTCTTCAGTTCTCAGTTAAGGAGATATGGTGGTACCTTATTGCTCTGTAGCATGATAGCTTTCATCTTGAGAGCAGTGGGATGAGTCCAAATGGATGGAAGAGACTTTTCCTCAGATGTTGAGATAAATATAAAAGTGTGCTTTTAATAAATGTGCTAATAAACCAAACTTACTTTTTTGTCTTTTTTTAAATTTTTTTTTTTAATTGTACTGCACAAAACCCTTGCTATAATCTTTCCTCTTCTCAAAGGGTAGATCAAATATGAGAAGGAATTTTTTTTGTCTTTAACCAGAGTCTGATGGCTGTAGGATCTGATGAAAAAAGGGTTAAACATTAATACAACGGCTGAAGAGTAAAAGAAGCCAGATTAAGGAAGTGGAAAAGTTAGCCTTTTAAAACAACTATAAAAGTAATAACAGCTTTTTGTGGCACGTAGAATATTTGAACAGAAGGAAAAGATGGCTAATCCTTTATTTTTTCTTTCCTTTTTTTGTTTTTGGGTTTCCTTGGTTGAATTCCGTGGCCAGAATGATGTCATGGAATCAAACAAAGGGAACTTAACCTGGCAGGGACCTTCCAGTTAGGAGTCTATGCCTCAGTGTTTTCCCTCCTGTCTTCCTTTAGCCTTCAGGATTATGTCTCCCTAGGGCAGAAAAGAGAAAGTTGTAAAGGTATCATAACATTTATATGCAAGTCTCTTACACATCCTTTGTTATCACTGGACACTAGGGGATATATGACAACAATACTTCCTTAACTGGTGGTATACATGGTAGTAGTTTGTAGTTAGCTTGAATTAGTACTTAACTTGAGGTTTCATTTTATATCTCATACCATCCTCTGCTGGTGAATGTTCAGTAGCCCTTGGTGAATGTGTCCATAGTAGAGGACAAGGCGGTCCCCATGTTCACTGTTTGTAAGAACTGACAAATCCTTCCAAGTACATGTTTCTAGCCAGAAGGCAGAATGATAAAAATGGAAATAGCTGAAGGAAAATGAAAAATAGCCAACCTTTGAGAGCTTTAAAGGGAGCACCCTCCTTAGGACTATGTGGAATTTTTGAAAGAATTCTTTAAAACTCTTGCTGTGAAGAAATGCCTTTTTGCAGACCCACAAAAGTATATAGAGAATTTAATCTCTCCTTTCTTCTCTCTTCAGCTGGTTTCATTTGTGTCTCCTCCTTGCTTTTTAGGTTGTTCCATGTTTTCCTACCTGTGGCCTCTTTGAGATACTTTATGAGATAAGACATGTTTCACTGTACCCTTGTGATGGGAACTTTCAAGTGGAGACAAAGACTTCAGGCTCTTTGCTGTGGCTGATTTTTGTGCATTAGTTTTGTCTCTTTGGGTGACCTATGAGATGAGTCCAAGCTAATTAAGACTTCTACAACCTTACATAGTTTCATAATCTTGTGAATGCTCACACTTTTTGTGTTAAAATATTTCTGAACTTGTGAAATCAAGAGATTTATGTGCAGACTTAATTTGATTCTTCCCCTGGCTCTGCTCTGTACCCACCTGTTCTACATTTCTGATTCCTGGGGCCATATTTCTAAGTATGTCAAAGTATGGTATGTAAATCTCTTTATCTTAATGGTGTGAGGATTCATTTTCCCAGTGGAGTATGGTTACAGCACTCTGTTTCCATAGAGTAAGGTTGTTTTAGGTATATTTTCACAAGAAAATTTCTTTCTTTTCACAAGAAAATAATTTCTTTCTGCTGTCCTGACAGTTATTTGCTTTTATGACTAAGCCATTATCTCATTTTCTTGCTCCATAGTCTGTATTTTAAAACTTATAAAAAAACTCTAAGAAACAATTTCTCTTAATTCTGTTTTTGCTTATCCTTTTTTTCTTGAGTATAACTTTATATGCAATTACTTAACTGCCTCTTTGCTTCTAATGCTGCCAAAGGAGTGAAGTCCATTTAGTATAATGAAGATGGCAGTTGCATGAGAGTATGTGTATGACCATGCAGTTATTCCACTGAAAGCCATGGAACACTGATAAAATGTAGACATGTGAAAGCTGGAGCAGTAGTACCCCAGCAGTAAGTGGATGAGACTGTGGGAATGGAAATGGAAATCATTAAATGTAGGCGTCAGGATTTTGACATGTGACTATGACTTTAGGTAGTTTTACAACTGATACTGAAAAGAAAAAAGAAAAAGAGACACATTCTATTAAAAGAAAAAGTTTTCAAACTTTGCAGACCAAAACTATAAGCCGTTCAAACAAATCACTGAAAACACTCCTAGTTTCCATATGTTGTACTTTTTGAATAGATGTGGTTTGTACTGGCTTATCAATGGAGTGGCAGTGGGATATATGGATAGATGACCAGCTGGGGAGACCTGAAGCCCAGCTGGAGTAATGCTGCTGCCTGCCGTGTCAGCAGGCTCAGGCCTCTGGGTTTGGGAGCCCTGTATGATGGGTGAATGAAGAGTATGCTTAATGCTCTCTTCCTCTATTCTCTCTCTCTCCCCTTTTCTCTCTGTATATGCCTCTCTCTGTATCTTATGCAAACTTTTGAGTCATTAGTGGACTGCCTGCTGAAAAGATCTCTGGGCTTTACACAATCTGGCAGTCTCTCTGTCACTGGAAAGGAGAGCTAAATCAATTCACAGCAGAGAAGAAGAAAAATTTCTCTTGTGAGAGCTGTCACCTTGCTTTTAAAGATGGCTAGGATTTGAAGGGGAAAAAAAGTATTCAGAAAGACTGTATTTCCATAATCCAGCTAACTTTTTCTAGCTTGAAATATTTTATAATTTTACAGGGAGTTTTCTTTTGTCTCCTTGATCTCTGTGACCTCAGATATGGCTTTGGTCCCCTCACAATACGGTGTACACAGTAACTGTAATCCACCCCATGGCTGGAAGACAGTAGCCCCTGTCTGTAGTAACTCCCATGAACAACTTCTGGAATTAAGTAACATTATGTTGATATTAATTATAAATGCTATACAGCAGTTTCCAGCTAAATATTGAGTCGCATTTTCCAGAATAAATGGAGCTGTGGAGCAACAGAGCTGTGGTATGTCTCTGTTCTTTAGTCCTTTAAAAAATAAGTATAATAAAGAACCCCTAATTATCTTGAACTCAACACTGCAGCTGGACTACAGTAAAGATTTGAATTATCTCTCTGCTATGGTGAAATGTGTTTGGTTCTGCTAAGAAATTTTGCCAGTATCATGTCTACACTTGTTCATTGTGAATGTACAAGTCATCTTGTGACTTTATTTCATCACACTGAAATGGCTGTAATTTTTTTTTCTCCTTTGTCTCCCTTTGTGTGAAGGAAAGAAAAGACAGAGAAACCCACCTGGCCTTGGTGCCAGGGTGTACTGGTAGAAGCCCCTCTGGCACCCGCCAGAGTGACTGCTTAAATGAGCTTGCACTTTTGGCAGATCTAATCTGTATTAACTGCAGTATATTTTTCTTGATATGAAAACACTTTTAGCAGCTTGGTTAGGACTCTTTTTCCCAGTGGTGTGTTCACATCACTGTCATGTGATATCTGAAACAAGTTCATGATCTCTTCTTCCTCTCATGAATATTCTGTATGTAATACGTGCTTCAACTTCCACAAGCTTCAGTTGCTTTCTAGAATTACAGGCAACAGGACGTTTCCAATCCAAAATGCTTCATTTCAAAATTAAGTTGTCTGCTAATTGAGAAAGCATCCCTTGTGTCCTTTCGAAAAAGTCAGGATCCAAGAGATGGAGGAAATGAAAACTCCAGTATGACAGCAATTCCACCCAAGCTGTATGATTAACGTGCTGGGATGGATTCTCAGCTGTGCTGAATTTGGCCTTCGTGAGGCTGAGCAGAGCCAGAGAGAGCAGTGGCACTGAGCCACCTTTCCAGTCCTTTGATCCTGGGCCAGGCAGGGGCAGAGCTGTCTGTCTGCGTACTTTAAAGCAACCTAAGAGGTGTTTTAAACTCTGCAGTTATAATGACAAGGTAGGGGTTGCTAACCCAGATTGTTATCCCAGCCCTGCTTCAGTGCTATCTCTCTGGGGCATTGCTCTCTTCTTCTCCCCAGCCTAGCTTGTGACCCGATCACTTGTCACCAGGAATCCGAACTCCATCTTTAACGTTACTGCTTTTAGAAACAAAAAAGCAGCCAAACTCAGAGACAAAAATATTGCCTGTTACATTTACACATAGAAGGAAGGACCTCTTTCACCTATAATTTTATTTTGAAACAAACCCATATGTAATTATTCATGCTGATTTCAATGTCTGAATCCATTCTCTTGAGTGTTACTGTTAATCATGCATAATTTTTTTTTTTCCTTAAAAAATTCTATTTACCATTAAGTGTTTATCAGTACAGGTATTTGAGGAAATGAAATTTGCATTTTTGGAAAGCATTTGCATACTGGAAAAACATATGTTTCCTGGATTGGAGTAAAACACTTATCTTTTGGAGTGAAATATTTCACTTGTTTCTTAAATTTATAAAAATATTATTTCTTCACAAGGATTTTATTCTGTGGTCATTTTGTTGTGATCTTAATGAAGAAAGAATATTTTACCTAAATTAATCATGTTCACAGGTTACATGCTTGTGAATGGTTTAAGATGAATGTTCTTATGACAAGAATATCCTTTAGCTTCTTCTACTGTTGTGATACAGTTTTCTGGATTTGAAATTTTCAAACTAATCCATGAAAAATTATTTTCAAACTAATCCATGAAAAATTATTTTCAAAGGTAAGACCTATTTAGAATAGAAGGTTTGCTACTTGCTGCTACCAGAGTGCTCTTTGAACTAGATTGTTCCCTTTGGATGAGACTATTATGGAAGGAGGGACAGATAATACTGTGTATCTCCCCAATGTATGGTTTCTGAAACATCTGCTGCTGGCTCTGTAGGAGACAGAGGAATTGGGGGACAGGGAAGGGGAGAGGAAGCATTCTTTTGGAAAACCTGCTTTTTTTCTGTTTATTTTGACATTCTATTCTGAACATCTTCAGATTGCTTCAAGTTTGCAATTTCTGGTTTTCTCCCCAGCTGGTTTTAGTGAGTTGTTCTGTCTTCATAATGTGTAAGTGTAAAAATAATACAAAACATGGGGAACAAGGGTTGTGGTC